CAGCCCATTTGTGTGCATCCTGAATCTATTCCCGTCGGTATCTCGCTGTAGCGACGATATGATTTGAAGATGCGGGAATGGAGTGTCACATTGAGTTACGAGGCGTTTGTGCAGAGGCAACCTAATGGCGGCAATTGGTGGGGAGGTTGTTATTGGTGATTATTATTATGCTGAGGAGAAATCGATGGTTGAGAATAAAGAATAAATGGGCAAATAAGATGTGAGGATTAAATTGATACCTAGTCATTGGCTCCTGTTACATCCAGTCGGAATGGGGGGAATGATGACTGCAGTGATGTACTCAGCACAATGCTTGACGAATACTTACGAATATCTTGATAAACTAGATACCTATGAAATATGAGCATTCGAGAAGGGTCTTTCTATTTAGCCACGGCAGATTTATCGGGAGACACTGTGATGAATTCTAGAGTGCAATCAAGTCGTCTCTGCCTTATCTTCTGTGTGGTTGTTACGTATTTTCATATGGCCTGAATGACGATACATTGGAGAGTACATGAATATGATGCTGATGTATATAAATATCGAATGGGTGCAGAGTTTTCAGGGTGTGTACTGAATGAAGTCGTACTCGGCCGTTGGATATCACGCAATTCTTCATCACTCTGCCATTACATACTGCAGGGCATGCACTGTAATGCTGCTGCAACTCACATGCATCCTGCGAACTACTGTTAGCATGTGAAGCGAGAGAGTTTTCTCAGCGGTATCGGACAATATGTTCGAGGCATTGCTTATACTGGCGACATCGGATGTGATGGAAGTTGAGAAGTGACGTGCTTGCGGGATGCGTTGGGTTTGGGATGGGAGCGTGGGATGTGGTGAGATAATTTGATAAGGTAGATAGATAACAGATGAATGTGCTTCTGGAAACTGAAATCAAGTCACGCGTGAAGACGCAATTCATCTTAAACTTGTTTAGGCATAACAAGTCGTGTCTTGCTAATGCTAACGCTCTGAGCATGACAGGAAGACAAACGGTATGCAGGCACTGTAGCGCAAGGTGCCAAAGAACATGGCCCACGATTGAACAACAACGAACCAATGTCTGAGCCTTGTCAAAGCACAATGTACTGTAAGTCGAGTTGAAGCCATCGCCAAACAAAGTGATTCGGTAACCAAGGCAATGCTGTGGCGTACCAGTTTACCCCACAGTCCACTCTGAATCATGGATGGACCCTTGTAAAATGCATCACAGGACGTGATCTAGCTTCTGGAGCTGAGGTGTATATTTCTGGCATCTTCTCCCTGCCACATGAGGAATATTGAAACAAACACAGACTTGTTGCCCCTGGCGCCTTGACAAGAGAGTGCGCTGTTTGCTTCACTCCCCTCTCTTTGATACTACGTATGTACACTTGGCCGAGTAATGAAAGAATGAAAGAGGCGCCTGAATGACCGCGGATCCACGGACAGACGCGCCGGACCGTCGCTGGCGCCCATCACGGGACCTGATTATGGCTTGACGGGGATGAGATCCGTCGTTAGGTTAGTGCATTGTGAAACTAGGGAGAGAGTCAGTTGAGTTGAGTTGAGGTCAGATCATGCCAGGGCGGAGTTCAAATGGCTTTGACTATGGCTTGTGGGAGGTATTTGGCCACAAAGCATCGATTGATCTCGGGCTCAGCCAAATACTCTAGTCACACCCTTTCTGTAACCGAACATATCGTCTGTTCCCTTTGTCGAGTATCACTTAACAAACAGATGACCTTGATATGAAACGACTAAATATATCAATCATCTCGGTCAACCTTGTTAGCATAGCATAGTTTGGCCACGGCGCCCCCGGAGACCAGACAGACTCACACGTGCGCCATGACCCCCATCCTCCAAGGCTTGTTCCAGGCTTCATCCCATGTCTATCATGCCCTTTCAGGCTCCTCATCTCATTGTCCCTGTGCCAAGCCAACGTTCCCGACTCAGGCTTGCCCCCCGCGGGTCTTCCGGCGCCCAGGGAGGGCCCCTGGAAGTGACAGACAGGGAGGGGAGCCTAAGCCCTTCTAGAAGGTCAAAGCAGGCATGGCTGATATCGTGAGTTGATGCCCAGTGGTGTATTTATTTATTAGACAAATGGTAATATTCCATTCCATTCCAATTTATTGTTTTAGTTGATTCGTTTAAACGGTCGTTTATTCCATGGCTACTACGGAGTAAACGGTGACCGTTTCCTTCAAGACCAGAATACTCATCTTATTGTAGTTGATGACGGCTGATCCCGATACCTCGTTAATTAGATAATGATCACAATTGCTCTGCCATTGGCTTCTGTCTACCTCCCTATCTCACGGTGACTGAATATGAAGATGCAACTGCTATTCAATTGATTTACCGTTTCCCAACTGTCTGCCATTAAATCAAAACATAAAACTCCAGATTCATCATTGAAACCAATTCGCGCCCCAGAACCCTTTAGCCTAAATTCACCATCCTGGAGTCGATAATTGCGTGTCTATGGCCCCCAACCTCAATCTTCAACTCGCCTCCCTGATCTGATGGTACTTACTCCGTACCGAGCTGCACTCTGCACGCCAGGACTCTCACCTATGGTCCCCGCTATCGCATCTCAACCGCTGTCGGGGGTTAACCCGTGAAACCGTCAACCCTAGGAGGGCTTTTTGCATTGGTAACGAATAGGCGAATTCCTTAGGCTTCAGCGGATACCATGATTGGATCTTGTCAACACAGTTGCTCCGTCAAGACAACAGGGCATGGGTATAATAAAAAGAACGGCGTGGACTTGGGCTTTAATCTTTGGGGGCGTGCTCAAACGATCGACGAGACTCATCTCGAACCTTGGCTTCGGTTCCCATTGTCTTGGAACTCCATCGATATTGCGGCTAAAGCAAGGGGTACATGTTGGGCATCACCAACAGACTAGCATCCGCATGGCTAATTCGGGAGGGATAAACCACCGGAGCTCTGGTTTGACTGCTCCGTAGCCTTATGGAGAATCTTGCCTGAGAAACAATACCAGACCCGCCCTATCGCGGTATTCGAGAAACGACTTTCCGGCATCAGCTCTGCGCTGACTGGGCCTCGCGGATCCTCTGGAAGTTTCGGGCACCTTGCGAACAGGCACAGGATCAAAGCTAGGCCGGCCAAGATGCTACCTGTCATCCAGAGACACTGCAGCGCTTTCACCACAGCGTTCATCATGTGTTCTTGTTGGCCAAGGCTTCCATGTTCAACAGAGGCTTTGATCATCTTCAAGGCATTGTTGATCTGAGCTGTGTCGAGGCCTAGCTTTCCAAGCTCTTTTTCCAGTTGGACGGAGAAGACAGCGATACCAATGGCTATACCCATGCATTGGCCCATCGTTCGAAGCAGATATATCATGCTGATTGCATGTCCAGCATCCTCCTCTCGGACTGTGGCTTGCACACCAAGGTTCATGACTGGAATAAGGAGGCCTATTGCGATGCCCAGGAACAAGGTCATGACCAAGATCACCCACGTCGGGGTGTCCTTGTCAAGAATTGTCATGACTCCAAACATGGTGACCATAAGAGCCCAACCACCAAGCAAGAAGCCCATGTATCGTCCTGTCCTGTATGCCACAATCCCTACGACAGCCGCCATAGGGGCAACAGTGATAGTAGCTGGAAGTGCCCATACACCAGCCATAAGCGGTGTCTGGCCTTTGATGCCAAGAAAGTAGACGGCAAGATAATACAGAACCATCCACATGAGACTGCCGTGGATAGTCGCACTGGCAAACTGGAGGACTGTCGATCGATGTCGGAACAAGCTCTTTCGAAGCATAGGCTTTTTTATCGTCTTTTCGTAGAATCCCAACCCTAGGAACGCGAGGAACGAAGCGATTAGAGGAACGATTACTGCCGCTGAGCTCCAGGGGAAGCGTGAGCCACCCCAAGTCAGAGGGAGCAAAAGACTGACACTCGCGATGATATAAAGGAGAATGCCCACCCAGTCGAGATTCTTGATGAGACGCAGGTTTCGCTTCCCTTTGTCATAGCCTAGGAGAAACATGGCTCCTATCAGACTACTTCCAAGCAATGGAAGGGTGCACCAAAATATCCATCTCTACGATGATTAATATCGGGACATGTGGTATGGTAATAAGGGATACAAACCCATTGGGAATCTTTGTTCTGAACAACAGCTCCTCCAATCAGGGGTCCAGCAATAGTTCCTAGAGCCCAAGAGACATGCTGATACGACATCCACCGCGAACGTTCACGGATCGCGAACATATCGGCGTGGATTATACCCGACAATGCCTGAGGTCCTCCGGATCCTACTCCTTGCACAGCTCGACCGGCAAGAAGCATTACACTGCTTTTTGCAATGCCGCAGAGCACCGTTCCAGCGATGAAGACAACGAGGGAGGCCACATATGTTGGCCTTCTCCCGATGACATGGGCCATTTCGGCAAAGATGGGCTGGGCTATAGCCGTCGCTAACAGGAACACGGATCCCATGCTCAGGCTTTCAGAAAATGATGCATTCAGTTCTCTTGCGAGCGACTGGATATCTGTTGGTGATGGCTTCACAACAGGGAGGGGTAAACTTACAGGAAGGACAACGCAGATGCAGGTCGCATCGAATGACTGAACAAGAGAAACCGTATTCATCACAATCAGGATACTCATCTTTCGAGCGTGACTGAGCTCTGGTTTATCTCCATGTTGTTCTTGGACTTCGTCTTGGGAGGCAAGAGGTGCAGCGACCTCCTCGATCTTTTCAGCCATCGTGTTTGCCATGATTGAACAGTTGTAAGGATGAAGAAATTCAATTACGACATCTCATGCAATACTTTTGGACCTTATCAGCAGGTCAATCGGCCAATACCTCCCTGAAAAGAACACGTAAAGTTTCGGGGCTTTTGTTTACCAAAGGTTAAATAGGTAAACAAGGACAGGTGTGATCACGGGGCCGTTTGGGGTTCTTTATCTTCACACACTCAACTTTAGAAATGTTCCTCAAAATTCTTTCCCTATTCATTAGAAACAATAGTCATGGAACACCTTAACGGCCCCGCGATTCTCTCTGGACTCCTCATGTCCAGTGTTGTTTACTGGCATGTGTACTACCTCGCTGACTACCTCCTCCGCAAGTATGCACCAACAGTCCACGAACGACTCAATAACGAAGACCAAATACGGAAGCTTATGCCCCTCGTTATCACACTGGTTCGAATGGCCTTTGGTCTTACAGTGGTTTTGCCGTCCTGTATCCAAGCTGCGAGAACTACACCATGGGGAGTTGATCAGCCCCTGAACAACGCAGGGAAAGTCTGCGTTGTATCACAGCTTGCAGTATGGTCCAACGAGTTACCTCAGGCACGGCTCTACTCTATGGAGCTGTTCGTACATCATATTCTCTGTCTCGTTGCGACAGCCAACATCATTCTTTCTCCACCGATACACCAGATCAAACCCCTCTACATCTATTTTGGGTCACAGTGCGGTGATATCGGGCCAGGATCTGTCATGATACTACGAATGGCTGGCCACAAGCTCAAGACTTCGAAGTTGTTGTACAATGTTTCCTTGGGATCGACGTTACTGTTGATCTTTGGTCGTATCGGAGGCGCTTTCTACACCCTCACCCATGTCCTCACCGACCCCTATAACCTCGCCGACTGGGTGGGCGCCCTTGGCATCTTGGTCTTTGGGTCCTACTCTACATATACTGCGTTTCAGCACTTGAGACGCCTCGAGATCATCAAAGTTGATCCCGTGAGGTACAAGATCACCTACTTCCGCCACTTCGCAGTGCCTATATCGCACTCGTTACTGGCAGTCGCCTGTAGCGTTACACTCCTGTCAAGCTTGTTTCTATATGGCATCTACCTTGGACGGCCCTTGAAGCCTGGTGAAACACATGGACTGTCACTTCACAGCCTTATTGCCGTTGCACTTGGCATGACGGGGGCTTTGGTCGCAAGGCTCGCTTACCCGCATAATGCCTCCCGATCTAATTCCTGGGGGCGTTTGTACGTTCCGTTTGGTACGATCTTGGCGGTTACGTGTATCTCACTTAACAGCACTTTCACGAGCTATACGGACCACAATACAGTTATGGCATCGATAGGGGTCAGCTTACCTCTGTTCTTCAGCCTTGCGAGGGTAGCTCAATACTACGCAGCCAAGGATGTAGAAGTAGTGCGCGATGCGAAGCTACCTCCAGGCGACAGCTTTATAAGGAGACACGTTGAGATTGCCCTTGAACATGCTGTCATATTCGGCATCCTTCTGGGGATCTTGATTATCAACCTCCTGAGTCTCCCAGAGGCAGCCCGTCTTTCAATTGCAGCATGCCTTGTCGTGCAACTTCGATATCGTTGGAATATCGTTCCTCTAGCCGCTGCAAATATCCATGGGCTGGCAGGCGCTTTGCTGGCTATAGTCCTCATCGTGTTCGAGCCTGGCTTTATTGCTTTTGCCACAGCTGGAAGATTCATCCGCCTTGAAAATTCTTGGTCCGCCATTTTCCAGAACTATCTGCTTCTAGGAGGAACTGTTATGGCTGCTATCTCTGTGCCTAGATCTGAGACTGCATCAAGGCCATGTGAGACTATGAAGAAGCCTTGCAGGTCAAAGAGGTTTCATCCTATCACCATAATCTTTGTCTTCTTCTGCATTCTACAGGCAATGCTAATTGCGAAGTACGTGACTTTCGATGGGAAGACCTCAGAGATTTGTCCTGGTTTTGTGAACTTTAGATCAATCTTTTCAGACGTTTACACTTGGGTGGGCGCACTTCACATGGCCTCATTGCCCGTGGTTGTTTTACGGGAGTTGGAGTAGGGGGGAGCATGAGGTACCTCCGTTTCATGGAAAAGGTGACCTAAGAGGTCTTTGGTCAGGCCAAGCCCTCATGCACTCACCCGTTCTCCTGTAATTCGTTTCTCTTCCACTGCTTGTTTGTCTCCATTGCCTGACGCCTGGCGGGCACTGGCAGCTGAGCCTGGCCTTTTCACCTGTCACTGAATCAGTGGCTCAGGCACAGATTCTTATTCTTCCCTACCAACTCCCTCTCTTGCTTCACTATTTGTTTATTCCCTTCATCTCTGCAGCGCGTGGCCGAAACTCCTCCCATTCCTTACGCCTCCCAAACGCCCGCCATGTCGGCAGAACCGCCACGAGAGGATACTCCTTCGCAGCGGGAGAAAGACCTCTCTATAAAGCTCGAAAAGGCAGAGTTGGCCATCCAGGCCAATTCACGGCGGGAAGCAGAACTCCTCTCCGAGCTTCTCCAAGCAAAGACAACACTTCTTGATGAATCCCAGCAGCGCGAGCGTCGCCTTTCGGCCCGGCTGAAACAAACTACAGCCGATTTTGACGAGTCTCAGAAAAGAGAGAAACAGACTTTGACTCAATTTGAAAAGCTCACTTCTGATTTTGAAGCCTTGAAAAAGAACGCTGACGACCCGTCGGTGGAAATGCTTCAGAAAGAGGCTGCTCTCGCTGCGTCTCGGCAGCAGGAACGACAACTGTCGATGGAGCTTCAGAGTGTCAAGAATGAGCTTTCCTCCTACAAAGACAGCCGAAAACCTATTGAGAGAGAGCTTGCAGACGCAAAGAAGGATTTAGAACGATCGCGAAACACTGCAACAGAGCAATCAGCTCGCCTCGATGAGGCCAACAAGAAGGTCCGAGAACTTTCGAAAGAGGTAGAACAGTCCAAACAAAAGATTTCCGATATGGGAAGGGCCAGTGTACATGCAGGCCACAACTATTCGAGCCTTTGGACTCGGTACAACAGGCTACAGGAATCGAACAAGAACAATCGTTATTACCAGCAGTCAACATACCAATGGCCGCCACCCCCGGCACCCTCTCAGAGCTTTCGATTCGACGACCAACCACGAGATGTGAATCCTATTTTTGACTTCAACCTCGGAGCGAATCAGCAAGAGTCGCAAGTCAATGTGGCACAGGGCTCCGGAACACAGACACACTCGGCGGCCACGTTCGGGGCAGTGAGTGCTATACAGCCAGGAGGCTCACGGTCGTTCAGTCACAACGACAGCTCTCAACCAAAGTCTTCTTTCAACAGTTTTAGACCTGCCACGTTGAAGCACAATATCCTTTCTAATCCCCCCAATGGCCCTGGAAACCAGAAACGGCAACAAGATAATCAGACCCAGCAAGGTGCAGCCGATCCCAAGAGACTCAAGAAGGAGACATAGCTTTTCAGAATGATTCATATCGAGATCAGAACTTTTCAACAAACTCAGAACTTCAAAACGAATAATTGGTTTCTTTCCCTTACAGGAGACCGGGGCTGGGTGTGCGATGTACTAAGCCATGCGTATCAAGACATTCTACATAACGTTTACGGTCACTGGACGTCGGGAAAGATGTTGAATGCCCAAACTTTTGAGCACCACGGATGACGGATGAAAGGAAGGTGTAAGGAACATATGGATGAGTGAAAATAGACGGATATGCTGTCGGAATCATGGCTGGTGATTTCAGTGATATGTGAAGGACGACTCCATAGAAAGAGTCTGTTTACTGGCATTTGTAATTTCAATGCTTTTTTGAGCCTCAATACATCTTTATAACAAGAGGCTTTCACGACAGTCCACTTGATATTTCCATTGTTATGATAACACACTTGTGATCTTTTACCTGTTTGAACTTCCTCTAACAACGATTAGCACAAAGACATGACATCTTTGGTATTAATTTGACACAATAAGATTTAAACGGATATTGTCACAAAAGAACCATATATTATAATCGCATAAGAGAAATCTCTGTTTACCCAAGCGAGCTGATATCATCACCTCTATTACCTGAACAGCAAGGTATCTCTGCATCTGCAGAAACTGTGTGCTTCACAGTGATAACCAAAGTTCCGATAATCCCTACTATTTTCTTGGGGGCCCCTCGCTTGGAATTATCGCAGGTCCCTTGAGCTTGTTCGGATTTCCAACTGCTGAATGATCTTTGGTAATGCAATTGGGGTCTCAGGGTATGGTCGAGCTATCAAGACAACCATTCGATTTGTCTTGAACTTATCAATCCTGCGAGTCATGACATCCTGTCAAAGACTGGCTAGTAAGTCAAGTTCCTGGAATAGTCTTAAGAAAGTGACATCGCGTGAATGGCTTGACATCATTGAAGATCGAGTCCCTATTGCAGATCTTGTTATGATGTAATGGATGCTTTTGGCGAGCCGATTCAACAAACTTTAGGAACAGTAGAGTCACATGTAACATCGATGATCAGCTCGCGACTAGTAGGAAGACAAGCAATTGACTTGGTCGCGAGTCGAGGGTTTATGTTACTATGTACACTCCTGAGACTGATCATAACCAGTTGCCCCTTGGCCCAACAATGGTCTTGAGGAAAGCAGGGAGCCAATAGAAATATTCTAAAGAATTAAAAAGATTCACGAAGTGGGTATTCGGATAATATGCTTGGTGTGATAGTCTATGTAGCTATGGTATATGAGCGCTACCGAATATACTACGCAGAAGCGATATGTCTATGGTCTGATCCTATATCTAGATAGCCAGGTAGCTTATACAAATACTTTGTCATATGACTGAAGAAGGACGTTTCGTTGATTACGGTACGAGACTGACTGTGTATCACATCCGTACTTGGCACCATTGACTGACGATCCCTCTACTTACGGCCATACATAGTCATCTGAGATCTATATGAGGGCATCGCGGAGGCTGTTCCCTATGCCACCCTCCAGTAACACAGCCCGTTTCAGATTAAGCAATAGAGTATTGGGTATTCGACAAGGTTAAAGTCTCTGACATCATATCAGATCCTTTCTTGACCGAGGTAGCTGAAACGGGGTGTTTCATTGTCCATTTTCGGCATCACGTGGGAGCAATTTGCATCAGCGATGATATGTATGTCAACTCTAGGCTGCCACTCGACTTTCATATGATCGATTGTAATTACAGATAAACCTTACACCGACTCTAGATCAGGGATGCTCTGCTCTGACATTATCACATTGTGCGTGCCAACGCATCGACTCGGCCCGTATGCCACCATCCTCATGGCCACGGGCCGTGAGATCGACACCTCTTTATTGTGGTGAGGGAATACCACCAACCTTCAGGCACAGCAACTGCTGAGTGTCCGGGCCCGCGGATCAGACCCTCGATGCATCCGCATGAATGAGATGGCCAGCATCCAGGTTCTCCGCATCAACCCATCACCAGGCCTCCCTCTCTGACCATCACATGTCGCCTGTCAAACCAAAAGGAGAAGCTGCCATCTCTTATCATCTCCCTCTTTGATTACATTACGGCCCTCCGATCCGATCAGGGTCTTCCCTCTTCGTTTGCACGGCATAGTTTCTCCGTCGGCTGACCCCTACTGTCTTCCCCGGAACATGGGGGTTCTTCGGCTTCTCAATTTCAAACCCACGCAGAACCGTTTCTTTGGGAAGTTGGGGAAATTCGGACGAATTTGGGGGTCGAGTTGGCTCAGGAGGGGGTGGCAACTTTGGCAGTGACAGTTGACAGCAAAGCACATGGAAAGCCAATGGCCTGGAAGCTGGAGGCTCCCCGTGGCATGATCCCATGTCAGCAGGCACAAGGCCCTGCAGGCTATTATGCCTGGTAAAACCTGGGGTCTGGGGTAACGAGAGTTTGGTATGCACGACCTGCCCGTCTCAGCAGAGGCGCAGCCTGGCTGCTGATTACCAGTCAACGATTATTAGTCAAGGACTCTGGATAAGAACTGCAGCGATTTGCGTGTTTTGTGATAATCTCGTCTTATCAGCCAAGTGCATTGGGTAATTCACAGTATCAGAAGACACCTTTGCCTACACCACCATCCAAAGCCTTCAGTTGTTACACAGGGCATATTGTACAGGTATGGGCCGATGAGAAGGCTTATTCTTCGATTGATATGATGGCTTTATGCTAAAACCACACTGGTGGTACCGCACACAACTAGACAGCGAGTCTAGGCATTTACTATAGCCATATCTGGCATGTTTCGGTATATCAATGCTTAGCCTCTGTAACAGGATGTTGGCAATTCAGCCGCTCGCGCAAGAATGGTCGACGAGTCGCACATGACAGTCAACTTGGCGTTGTAAACACAACATCTCAGCAATACCAAGGCTGATTTCAATAGTCGTCAATGGTCGACATCGTTCCATCCCCCCAACTTGAATCAATTACCGGCCGCGGCACAATGGCTTTAGACTCTCGGCAGAAGATACTAAAGAGGGAATATCAACGGCGGCCACTTTGGTGAGTGCGGAGAACCTTCACCACGTGGGACGCTGAAGAAATGGTGGCAGCCTGTAGGTACAAGAGATACCTCCAAAACGCAGGAAATTGACATCTGCTTAAGCTAAGCACTAAGTTAAGGGCGACAGTCAACTAAAGTTACCCAGTCGGCTTCATATTCGGCAAGTCTAAGCTTCGAGTGGTGTTCTCCAAGGGGAATCTCTTGTCGGTATCCAATTCATCCAAGGTTCCCAAGACGCGGCTGCACAACCTTGGAGCGGAAGCGCAGATATTGGATCAGCCAAGCCACTCCAACAGATGCAAATGAACTTGAATCGTGCTTCGCATCATCCACCATCTCCAACTGCTGTCCCCTCATCGGCGACTCCGTTGATAATGGACCTTGAAACGCATGCCCACATGGCGGTTATCGATAGAATCTCATGGCGGACCCAATATTGTCGACTTTGCTTCCTCGTGGCTAGGAATACGACACAGCCACGGGGATTTCACGTGTCAAAAATGTCAACGAGATAGTGAAAGTATGAAAAGAGATCCATTAATTTGTCACAGCAGCACCAATGAGGGAATATCAATTACCCTGCCATTGCCGGACCGACAGAGGCGGTAACGGTTCAACTGATATTAATGGCTTTGAGAAGGGCCGCGGCGAGACATGCAAACGGTGACGGATGAGGGTCCCGTCCGAGCAAAAAGGCATTATTGAGGGGCCGAGGAGCGCCGTAAAGTCGCCGGGAACAAGACGATTCTTATCAGTGGAGATGTGATATTGTTGGAGTTTTTTTTTTTTTTGGAGTTTGTTCTGGAGACCTTCTGGATCCAATTTGATCTCACAATATCTCATGAGTCGTCTCTGTCTGGTTGATATCGGGGCACAGCGGAGAATGATGATGCAAGAACCAGATTTTGATGCCCAACCATAACCGTTTGCATTAGAGTTTACAAGGCTGATTACAGGGAGGCCAAACTGTTCCGTTCGAGATATCTTCTCCACTATGGACCCGAAAAGAGATTTGGGTGGAGATGAGGGATAAAATACGGATTTAAATTACTGATTTCTCGATTTTCTCATTCGTCGAGAGCCATTGTCGGGGTGTTGGTGAACTAACAAGACCTCAAGTTGCATTTCACAGTGTGATGTCTTTGACGAGATGCCAGAAAATACCGCGTTGTTTGTTTAGCTCAGAATCCTCATCTGCCGCATCGTCAACAGTTGCCCTTTTCAGCCTCAGCTTTAACCCGCGCGTGATCGAGAGAAAATTGATGGAGGTGTGAGGTGTTCTTCTCCACGCGCGGGAGAAGACTTCTAGAAGGCCTAGAGGTCTGCTGAGGGTGATGGGCGATTGGTCGGGGCACGTCGGAGTCAAGTCCGTACACCACCAGCCATGATGGATAGAGGATGGCTCGTGCTCGTGCTCGGACAACACCATCATGAATGTAAAGGATATGTAATGTGAGCCTGAGGCGTCAATGTCCATGTGGATCGTCAGATTGCCGCGCTTGTGTTCCCAAGTCCCAAGACTCCGAAAACGGGCGCTCAAGACAAGCACCGTTTGTCCCTGATGAAGTGTCTGAGTGTTATGGCTGTTCTTGCGAGAGATGGTTGGTGCGCAACAGCTCTTCCCGTGGTCAGTTCCCGACCAGAAGTAAAATGTATGTCTCATTTCTGGTTCACTATTCGGTCATAGGGGCGAGATGACCTCGTCTCGACATCAAAACACTACAACCCGTTTGCATCATCGAACAGCGCATCAACACCAAAGAATGCGAAAATCCCATTCTCATTGCCCAGATCTATAGCCGCGTGATGTTCCGATGCGGGCTCTTTGAGAGCAAGATCTGCGAGATTTGGAGATTCTGGGGTGTCGCGAGAACGCACCACTTGCACCCCAGAGTATGACGTAGCAGCCCCCCAGATCTCGATGGATCTTGGAGAAACAGAAACATCGATATCAACTCGAGGTTTCGATGTTGACCACTGTTTAAGTTGTAGGCTGCAGGACGGGATAGCAGCCCTGCATACCCGTTGTGACGTTGTTTATTTGATCACCAGCCTTGGCTCGTAAAACTTATTGTTTTGTTGAGAGGACAATCGCGATATCACAACATGTGCCTGATTTTTGTTATTGCACACCACAGCCTTTTCGTTTTTTGCTTTCCTTCTCGATGGCTTCTCCATCGTTGATCTCATTACACGGTGGACCGTTTTAGACATTGTTTCCCATTGATACATGGACATCCAGTCTCCAGTCAACAGGTTCTGGGGTCTCGATACACAGGAAATACACCAAAAACGGTAAAAGCCCAGCATCTCAGACTCTCGGTGGGTTTCCGGTCAGTAATTACATAGTAAGAGTTAAGTAAGCAGCCCCGAATCTTGTTCGTGGCTACTACCTGATATCCTGTAATTTCTCGTGTCAGTGGATGATGGTTCCGCAAACCCCAGTGAACCGTTTGTCATTACCTAGTCGTGGCCCCGTCTGGGGAGGATCGTGGGTTGGCAGTAGTCAAACTCTAAGTGACTGGGGTAGAAATAATCGGAACCAATGATTCAACTTGGTTTATTCAATATCAGTCAATTGAATTAATTAATTCCCTGATTTTTCGAAACGGAATGCATTTTTCTTACTTGACGCCGAGACTTATTAGATCCGGGGCTTGTACCTAGGCACAAGTAGAAGAAACTCACGACTCATGCATGCAAACGATGTCATAGGCCACGAGGAATACGTTTCCACTTGAGGCAACGACAAGGCTTGCTCCGGCTAAAGGTTGATCAGGTCACACGGGGCATGTCAACTTTTGACAGGTGCTGCAAAGTAAAGTGTAGGGGACGCTCGCAGCGGACGCTACAGCTCTCAACCCACGTGAGGCCCTTCTGATGTCAGCCATGACCCGTCTCTAACTTAGATCTGTCGGCATTCCTTTCGATTCAGGAACCTTGGCGTGCCGTAGATTCGCTGCAAGTGACCATTAACTTGGCAGCAAGAAGGATCTGCAGCTCATTCTGGAGAAGGGTCGGTTGACTGGATGCATTGCATCTCCAGGCTCCTGTTTGCACCCTCTTGTCCGGCATCAGATGTGAAAATTCTCCTCTGCTTGACTCTGTAGCGAGCACGCACGCAATAGGACCAAGCGGTGAATGAGCGGCATTAAACACCTGAAAGACGGTCAAGCGTCAGCTCAAAATTGAGCACAAGCATGCACGTCAAAAAAGACCCTTGTTGCATGCATTGCACGACATTCTATCATTCTGCCCGGATAAAAAAGCCCTCTTTGCGTTTCCGAGAGCATAATACCTAATAAGCAGCCAGCTTCCGGACAGTGAAGTGGACACCCGACGCCCGCCGGATGGAGCCCTGAAAGGCAATAGATGGAAAAGGGTCCTCAGAATTGGATGCCGAATTCGACCGACATTAGATCCATGGCTGCCTGCCTGTGCCGAGGAGAGTTTCAATGAAATGGAGCGTAGCCATGGCACATGTGAGCTGCGAGACATGAGAATCCCGAGCCTTCGGGGCGCTTAACTTACATAGTTTAAGGTGACCAGGAATGCTATGGTCACGGTTATGGATGTGAGGCCGGAGGAGAAAGCGACCTGAAAAGCCGCATGAGCTTGGCCCGGCAGTCCAGAACAGGCGGGATAGCATGAGGCTTTACATATATCCAAGGCAGCATTCTTCAAAGCCGTCGGCACAGTAAAATAAGCGGCATTGAGGCTTAAATATCCGAGAGCTTCGAGGATGGCTCAAACCAACATAAACGCAAGCTCTCAGTAAACTCATGCAGGGTCCTATTTCCCACCCCGAGTTTCCGATCGGCAATTGAACCAATCTGACTCGTCTTATTTCCGCCGCTCACTCCCCAAGCAAAACATTTAATCCGCGCTTCTCATTGGTCGGAAAACACTCACCCGCCATTTACGGGACTTGGTCTCGATTTTTCCAGTATTCGGTTTAGCCTAAAACCGAGAATCTTTTCCTCTCTGACAGCGGTTTTGCGCTGCTCTTCTTTCTGACTCAGACTTTAAACACTCCCTGCACCCTATGTACCAGCTAGACCAGTAACAGTGAGAGAGTCCCGACGATGCGAAATCCCTTTCCTGTCAGCCACGAGACATGGCACATGCACCCCCCCCCTTCCGCCAACATCCTCAATTGGTCTAGTTTCGTTTTCTCATGACCCGAGAGGAGCTGAAAACTCCAAGCGCACATATCGCAAAAAGTAAACTGATAATTCTGTGGGGACAGAATTGCAATTCGTTTAATGCCAACCTGAATAACACCATGTGATCTTCCCTGAAGGCAAATTTGCTAATTATGCGGAGAGAAGAAAAGGATAGTCGGATGACCACGGAAAATACTCCAGATTCTCCGCAGTCAAGTCAGCAACATGTGGTTCTTTTTTTTCTGGGGAATTGAACACGTCAAAGCTTCATCAAAAAGAGGGGAGATGCTGAGATTTGGTTTTCGTCTAAACGCCATTGACGCTTAGAAAAGTATGTGGTTGAATACGAGCGAGTCTGAGCTCAGGCACACAGAGTCAATGGCTTCTGCTTACTGTACGTACATGCGGGATGGGATGCCTGGCTGTGTGAGAGTGTCTCTGTCTCTGTCACTGTTGACGATGCCATGGACTTCCCCGGAAAATCACAAGCGGGAGAGGCGTCGCTGTCTCTTGTTCCCTTTGCCTCTCTGCCTTTGAAAGGTCTCTGGCTTGACTTCCCCGCACGCAGGGAGTAGTCGTAGGTGAAACAATTGACTGGCTATCATTGCATCTCTGCCACAGCTTGTCAGAAATGACTAACTTCAAACACGTCTCCTTAGCCAGCCTCCTTTTGCGCAAATCCTTTTGAAACAATCCATTCTCAGTCACGGAGTATGAGTCCGTCCTCCTCTCATTTGGTTCGCGATGTGGCGCCTAGCTCGTGAGCTCTAGAATGTTGGAAATACGGAACGGCTGCGGCTCCGCAGGTGTCCGTGAGCAGAGTGAGCCAAAAGACGCGTTTCGATAATTCAATGGTCTGGACTAGACACATGTGTCTAGAACCGGAATTACATTGTGCTGGCGTAGAGCTGATGGTAGAATGTAGTAGTTTGGATGATACGAGATGCACGTTGGGTTGCTTCAATCATATGTCAATCGCGTCTCTACATGTCTGCCATCTTCAATTACATAAAGAACTATCATCATGCACATGCAGTCAGAGTTAAAAACTCAAAATAGCTAACTATGGATTGCCTGATGCTACATTTCCCATTCGTGGCTTGTCGCTGCAACCCATACCATTAAACCCTCCAATTTCAGGTACATAACAGGAACGCAAGAAGAAAAGCTGCCAGAGAGATCCGTCCGTCTGCCCAGGTATATTCCAAGGAATAGAACCCCCCAAGTCTAGTATTTTGGCCGAGGGCGGAGATACAAGGGAGTCGTTTGAACTTTGGAGGAGATTGGACTTACGCGTGTTGTTCCTAGCGTCCGGGTGTGCCCCTTCAGCTTACACTTGACTTATTGATGAGAGGCTGGGACCAGTTTCTGAATACCGATGCCGGACACCATTTCAATTCAGGTCGACTTGAGATGATAACCCATGTAAAGGAAAAAAATTCAATGGCGCGTTCCAGGTCCCAGAAGCGAGTGCCGATGGCTTGGCAGCCCTGGAGATGGTGTTGGAGTTGCCAAGCCAGTCGTTTTGTGTCAATGGTCATCTTGTAAAACTTGTCGCTGGAGACGGCTCACGACGGTTCTAACTTGACCTCGTGTTGTTGACCTTGCCTTGGAGTGTGTTGTCTACTACAGTAACTGCGCTTTGTTAGCTTGCACCCATAGGTAAGGTATCCCCAACAAAGACAGCACTGCCCTATGCTAGAGAAAGGACTAGAAGCAGCAGCCAGTATCACTGACCGCTCGATCAGACTACGGGTATTATCGTAAAGTCCCATGTTCCTTTTTGTCTAGCGACTCACGCCATTTATTACCGACAGTTTGGTTGGCTTACAAGTGACCTCCTTGAGATGCAGAGCATGTTCAAGGAGTTGACAAGACTGAATGATGAAAATTGTCTCAGAGGTTCATGCTTTGACAACATGTGCTCAGATCTGATTCTGTCTCTCTCTGCTCTCCTCTCGCAAAAAAACCAAAAGCCAATTGATCAAGTCACGAGCTCTACAAAGCCTGCAGCGCTGGCTTGCTTGGTTGGGTCTGCCACACTCAAATGGCCTCCAAGGCTTGGGGCTTGTCCTCCCCGAGCCAATGGGATTTCTGCCTGCCAGCATTAAACGGCCGCTGGTGTTCGCCTGCAACCCTCAGCTCTGAAGGTGCTGGCTAGGCCTGGCTCACAGTTGAAAACACCCGGAATTGATGACGTCCATCCTGGGTCATGTCTCCCAGCAATCCTTGAAGCATCCAGGAACCTTGGAACCCTTCTGACAACTCACAATGCAATGCGACATTCCATCACAACACCACACGCATTACTTCTGGATGATCAATTCACTCACTCACTCACTCCACCCAATTGGGTCAAGTCATTCATTATTTGGTTGATTGTTCAACGTGAAAAGTTTTATTCATGTTTTTGCGGAAACCTCTTCCTCATAGACAATCGCCCTTTTTGCGAGTTTTTTTGCTGAGTGACTCGTTTAATCTTTTGCTTTTCCGTCTC